TTAAATGGTTAATTTAGATTTATATTATATAACCCTTAGTATAATAAATGCTTGACTCTTTCATAGCCTACTATATGGTTTAACCGACATTTATGCTATGAAAGAAGCTTAATTTGTGGTTAACATAAATTAACATTATGACCACCTGACAACATTTACAAGTAGTAGCATTATTGGAATAAAATAACTAATATAATCATGTTAACATCCTTTGTTAGCATTATAAATTGAAACATCCTTTGTGTGTGGTTTTCAGTTGAGTAATAAAAAGAGTTTATATTATATTTACTTCGAATATCATTAGTAGATTCTCTAACCTTGACAACTATTTTTATCATTGTTTAATCTTCACATTAATCTTACATCTCAAAGTTCTTTTTAACTCACCACCATCACCACCACCACTATCATTATTATTATTTATAATTTATATAGCTAACCTCCCTATAGTTCAACCCCGATCTTGCCAAGTTATATATTACTTTGACACTCCTACACTTGAAAGAAGACATCAATCTTTTAGTCGTGTTAACAAGCCAAAGGAATTTCAATTCAAAACCTCTTTACAAGTACATGAACTTAAGCTCTATAACTGAGAGGAAACAAAACCAAAAAAATTAAAAAAAAAAACTAACTATACCAGTAAAATTGTTGATGGAAACATGTTGTCGGCAATAAACATTGTCAATTTTATTAGCAACTTGTTTTTTTTTTTACAAGATAATCGATGGAATATTCAAGCCGAGAAAAATAGATTTTACTGTCCATTTTATATTGGGAACTCCATCGACAACATTAATTGTTGACATAATATTTCATTGCATATTCCATCATAAATGGACCTTAATTGTCGTTGGAATATTTCATCACTTATTCCATTAGAAAGTGAGTGACCATGTCAATGAAAACTCCATCAAGATGTTTTGACAAAATATGTCATCAATTATTCCTTTTGAAATTCCAAAACCTTTTGTAAATTTTGATGAAACTTGACCTAACATTTTTTTTAAAAAAAAAACACCGATGAAATTGATTATTCCATTGGTAACTTTATCATAATATCACACTAATGCAAACTTTATAGATATAAAAATTTAGAAACCCACAGTTAAATTAACTCTTCTTAAGAAAGTTAAATTTAAATTTATGATTGAACTTGACATAACAATAGCATATATCAAGGCACAAAGATTATAGAAAACAAGCCATCATCCAACTTCTATAAAGAGACACAAATGAATAGTTGATTAGTACGTAAAAGTTTATTTTTATCAAGGTTTTATATCATTATTTTGCACTTGAAGTATTAATAACTCCTTAACTAGAGCATGTTTTATAATAACATATCTAATAAATATAAGATACCTTTAATTTATAGTAAATATTTATCATAAATACAGGCATATCACATGAATTGATTGATGAGTTCAACTACTGAAATTGAAAAGACAAAAAGAGGATGATTAGTACTTAAAAGTGCATTTTTATCAAGGTTTTATATCATCATTTTGCACTTGAAGTATCAATAACTCCTTAACCAAAGCATGTTTTATAATAATATATTTAATAATATAAGATACCTTTAATTTATGGTAAATGTCTATTTTTAATGCAGGCCTATCACATAAATGAAAGGATTGATTGATGACTTGAAGAACTTAAATTGCAAGGATAAAGAGATGGCCAAACTTAGAAAAGAGATGTCGGTGCAATCCAAACCGGAACACTGTTCGGTAAATGGGTCATATCTGGAGCTATATATCTCAGATTTAGGTCAAATTTATATGGATGGAAAGGTAAGACATAGGCCTACAACTTTCATATGGAGCCCAAGATCTAAAAAGGCCATTATCAAGTCCAAATTGTAGCAACAACAAAGAAGCCCGAATCTGTCTTCCAGCCCGAGCACTGTTCGGTATTTTGGCCATATCTGGAGTTCTAGAAGTCCAAATGAGCTGAAGTTTCATAAACAGAGTTCTACTCATAACCAGAGTTCTAGAAGGTCAAATGACGTGAAATTTGGTGGATGGAAGGAAAAGAAAATTTCCAACAACTTTCATGAATAGAACTTGCTCAAATTCTGATGGTAGAAATGACATTTCATCTAGACAAGAGCTTGAGGGCTATCTACCACGTCCACCAGCAACATTGTTTAGTCATTGGGTCATATCTCGAGCTGTAGTGCTTCAAATGCTCTGAAATTTGGTGAGTGTGTGATAATCCGATTGGAACCTCATTTATATGTGGTTTGTAATTGAGTAATAAAAAGAGTTTACATTATACTTGTTTGAAATACCATTAGTGAATTCTCTAACCTTGACATTTGTTTTTACAATTGTTTAATCTTTACATTAATCTTATCATCTCAAAGTTCTCATCAACTTCTTTATTGTTGTTGTTTATAATTTATACAATTAACCTCCCTATGGTTCGATCCTAGTCTTGTCGGGTTATTTATTATTTCGACACTCCTGCATTTAGAACAAGACATCAATCTTTTAATTGTGTCAAATATAATTTGGATTGATATTCGGTTATATGGATGAACAATTATTTATTTATTTATTTCAATTTTATTATTTACCATCATGTTGATTAGGAATTAAGTTTTATAATTTGTTTCAATTTATTATTTATTAAGGTTATCATGGTCTTATGATTAGAATTATGGATTTAACAAGTTAACCCTGATCGATCTAGTATATTTTTGTCTTAATTTTTTTATAAAAAAGATATCTTGAGTTTTTTTTTAATCGAACTATACTTTTATTGGTCATCTAAATTATCTTTAAATATATCAAGTAAATTATATATCAAGTAAACTAGATTATGTTGAATCAATCTTAAAATAATTTATTTTTTTTGCTAAAAAATTAGCATTTGATGAAATTTTTTTACATTAAAAAAATTAAACTTACTAGCCACGGAGTACGGGTCAACAACACAGTAATAAACCAAATCACGTCGTGACAGGGGATTAAAGTTGAGTTAAAACCCACCCCTTTTGACATATCCCCGTTCAAGTGGGTTGGATTTTTCATGCATTGGCTCTAGTATTAGGCGGACGCAGCTTTTAATAAAGATGTCATGTGACATAAAGTGTTACATAACGAAATGGGTTTCCCTTAAAATATCGTTCCATATGAAATATATAAAGGTGTATTAATTTAAATAATGCCCTCTTTGCACTGTTTTGAGTTCCGAGGTGGAGGTTAATAAGCAGTATTGGAGCTTCCACTTTTATATCAGTTTCGGAGCTTTCCCCGTGGAACTTTGAAATTAAAAACACTTGAGCTAGCATCTTCTTGTCAACAGTTTATCCTTGTTTCACACCTACACGGGCAGCTTAGAAGAGTAATTCTTCTAATGCTCCAATCGCAGACAACAGAAAACTGGTGCGTATAATCCAACATTTTACCATCTAGTTCATTAAATCCCACATGATCAGTCAGAATCTCAAACCAGCAACCAGTCGAGATTCTTCTTTTTTCCTATAAAAGGCTCGTTGGACTTCGATGAGATTTTTCTCTCATCAAACCATCAATCACATTCCGCCTATGCAATCAGCAGTTTAGCATAATTTTACATACTAGAAATACAACTTCATATAGTTTATTAAAGAACTGAACCTAAAACATTGGAGTATCATAGTCGCCTATGAAGCTAAATCCACAAAGGTATGGAAAGAATACAGTATCAACATAATAACATTTGGAGTTGCGCTCATTGTTTTCCTTCTGCTTGTGAGGCATAAATTTCCTTCTTGTTAAATGGTTTGCTTCTCCGTGGAACATCAGCCAAAGTACAGAATTCGGTCAAAGTTTTCCTGATTTGAACTTTCTTCTTTTTATCTGGTGGCCGAGGTCCTAAAACGCTTGTGTCAATAGTAGCCCCATAAGCTTCAGAGGAATGCATAACTGCATCATAAGCCTTCGGAGAGAGTTGAAGGTCTTCATTTTGAGCCCTCAAATACAACTCATATGCAAGTCTTGGTTTGCCACTCTTTGCAAGAGCCTCTATCAGCATGTCATATGTAATTTCATTTGGTGAGATGTTCTGGACTTTCATGCGGTGAAACCATTCATATGCTGCACTGCTCAAATTATTACGAGCACATCCACTGATTATTGCATTATATGTAACAACAGTTGGCCCAACACCAGTTGAAACCATTTCATTGATTATTGCATCAACCAGTCTAAAATTCCCTTGTCTAGTGAAAACCGAAGCCATAATAGTGTATGCATACACGTTGGGCTTGACACCCACCTTAAGCATATGCTCCCATACACGGACAGCCTCATCATACAGTCTACCCTTTTCAAGGGCACTAAGCAGTGCTCCATAGGAGATAACTGTAGGCTTTTCACCTTGTTCAACCATTCTTCCAAATATCTGAACAGCAGCAGCTGTTTCTGAAGCCTTGGAACAAGCAACAAGAACTGCATTCCATTCCTTGCTTCCTGGCTTCAGGCCTTTCTCTTCCATCTTGTTTAGCAACCTGACACCCCATCTCCAAATTCCTCTCTTCTTAGCTGCAGTAAGTAGGACATTAAAGTATGAAACAATCAATTCGTATGAAAGGTTATTTGGCTTTGGACCCTTGTCTAACAAATCCTCGTAAACCTCCAAGGCAGCCCACCACTTCTTAGCCTTTCCCATCAACCAAATCACATGGTTGCAGACTGATAAGCTTATATCAGAGCACCTTTCTCTAATCCTAATGTACAATTCTTTTGCAACAACATAATGTTCTTCACGGGTACAAGCCCACACAAGGCGCTCATAATCTGACCGACCAGGTTGAAGTTCAGCCTTATCCATATCTGTCAGAAGCTTTAACACATTGGTGTTCAAGTTTTCAAGCCTCACAAGCCACCGCCTCATAACCTGGTAGCAAACACGAATTGTGAAATTTTCGAGCTTAACATATTCCCTTTCCCAATCTTCATCAGCATCCTTTCCTATTTCCCCTTTCAGATACTTGTCTTTTATTTCTACAAAGAACTTGAGAGCTCCATCCCCGTCTTCCATTTTTCTATAAGCCAACAGAGCAGAAGAATAGGATGCAGCAGATGGGGTAAAACCATTCCTATGCATCTCTTCAAGAATATCAAGGGCCTTTTTAGCCTGTCCTTGCTTGACATAAATAACCATCAAAATGTTGTAAGTCACCACATTGGGAGCAACCCCCTCCTGAGTCATTCTTTCCAAGATTTTTTCCGTTTCTTCATATTGTTCAGACTGTTTCACTGCACTTAATAGACTATTATATATGAAAAGATTTGGAACAATAGTACCATCTGTTTCTTTCTTTATCTTGAGCCATTCAACAAGAGCCATTGCAGGCTCCATTTTCTTGTCCCATCCAAAACCCTTAATCATGGATAAGTAAACTTGAACAGGCAATTCACCCTTTTCCTTAAGAACCTCTTCTATATCTTCCACTGTTTTTGCAAAATATAAGCTCTGAGCGAGCGCAGGGACATCAATCTTTTCATCCTGTTCTTCCCCAACTTCTCCCTCACTTCCAACATCTACCTCACATTTTTGTTCTTCGTCACTGTTATCATCATTTCTATCGAAATCATAATCAACTTTATCTCTCTCATGTTTCACTAATGACCGATCATCCAAACTTGATTCTACTCTATGAAATTCATTACCAATTTTTTGTTGCTCCAAAGCCGATGCCAAAGCCAATGATGAACCAAATGAGCCTTCCTTCGGCTCACGAAAACACACATATTTAATCTTTGAATAATTGGAGAGAAACCTACTTTCCACACCAAATTTTAAGCTCCCACAAGAAGTCCCACTTCTATCATACCTCAAATTGCCAGAAACCATAGGAAAACCAGAACTTTCACCTTGAAAAACGTTGTCAACATGACCACATCTCTTCCTGCCTCTTCTAGTACTCAAAAAACAAGAGGAATCCTCCTCAAACTCTAAATGGGGCACCGCACATGAGCCACCACTCAACGGCCATACACTCAAAGTTTGCATTTTGAGAGATAAATTAGCAATAAACAGAAAAACCCAGGAAGCAAAATCCAGTTAAAGAACAAGAAAACATGATATCCACTTATCACGAGAGACTTTCTCCTATGGTTTTCATGCTACCTACAAGAGAAATAATCGGAGAACTATAACTATTGACTCTTCGTTTAGAATTTACACAATTTTATGAACAGCAAGGCATTAAAACATACCCGAATTGCTTCCTGTTGTTGTTTCTTTTGGGAGTAGAACTGTGAGCCTGAGGTTACCTCAGGATTTGAGGTTAGTGCTTCTCTTTGATGTCCTCACAGCCATTCAATTGTAGTAACAAGTGGGCGATTAGCCAAAATATCACAGATACTATAAAACGAGACAATGAGAAAAATAAAGATTTAAAAAGTAACTTAATGAGTCAAGAATTACAATAATTCAATTATCAAAATACTTTTTTGAGGAGGTGTAAATCAAAACAGGCAATGTTTTAATGTTGTTTGCGTGGAAAAATCAAAACTACACGGATTATATTCTCCTTGACCCATAATACGATGGTAAGATTAATTTTTTTTATATCAAAAAATATATTTATATATTTTTTCTAATAAAAAATTAAGTGGAGGTTAATCTTCTATGATTTAATTAATTTGACAAGTTTAAAAATAACTTAAATAATCAATAAAAATATGGTTTGATTAAAAAATTTGATATGATTTTTTTTATAAAAAATTAAGATGTAAATATATTAGATCGATCTGGCCTAACTTTTCAAATCTACAATTTTAATCATAAAATCATGATAACTTTAATAAAAAATAAATTGAAAAATATATTAAAAAAATACAAAACTTAATTCTCAAAAAACTAAATGTTGAATATTAAAAATTAAAAAGAAAACAATTTAAAATTTAAACATGTTAAAAAAAAATTTAAAATTTAAAACCTTTTGAGATAAGGTTGAAAATAATACAAATACATCAATAACATATTTTTTGGATTTTTTTTTGGTATGTTGAAAATATTTAGAAAAACAAGAAATTAAAAATTGAGTTATGATAACGAAGAAGGGAAAAATTCCCAGCTCATATGGGATCTATATTGTACCCTAAGAAAGATGGTTTGTTTCAAGTTCTTGAATTAATCAATGATAATACACATAAAAAGGATATTTGCAGGTAAGTATAGCACTAGTGATGTTTTTAATGTTTCTTATCTTTTTATGTTTGAAGTAAGTGATATTCAAGATTAAATTCTTTTAAAAAAATAATAATAAGAATTAACAAAGATCTCAAAATGATCCATTAAAACTGTCAATCGGGTCATTTCAAGGTTAAGAACCAATAAGATTAAAAAGATGTTCAATGAGCTATTTCAAGATATTTAGGCCAAATTAAGCATCAAGATTACAATAAGGAATAATCAGACTTTAAATAATAGAATCCGTTCAAAGGAAGCATATAGTTCTTGAGCTTAAGACATGTAAATTGGGATTATTTTTCTACTCTTTATTTTTATATTAATGGACATAACTTTTGATCTGACCATTGAATCATATATAAAGTTTGTCAGAATATTTTAAAGACCATTTTTTTTATAGGGTTAAAAGTTCATAATAATAAAGCATGGAAGTTATTATTTAGAATTTGTAATACTTTTGTAGTTGATTTAAGAATTTTTTCCCATTTTATTAAGAAAATTTTGTTATTTCTATAGCCTTGTTTATGATGTTTTACTTAATATAAATAGGGTTATTAAACTTATATATTTTTTTGTATTTTTATTTCATAAATAATATTATATGTGCAAGGTTACTTATATTGTTGGTTCTTTATTAAACTCTTTAGAACTTATCAAATATTATTTTTTTATGTCATTCATCTTTATACTTCTAGTTCTCGATTCTTGATTCTTTATAATCAACGAGTTGAGTTTTCATTCAATTACTACAGTTCTTTGGTTGAAACAATCACTAGGTCAAGTTTTTTTCAACTTATTTTAACTTTCTTGGATTATATTCAATCTTAATTATGGGTTCTACAATTTTTATTTTTTGAGTTTACATTACCATCTTTCAAAGTGACCATATGACCTTTTATATAATGATACAAAGTATAAATCTTATTTAAACATGTAAATCATAATCCTATATAAATATTGATACAAAGGAGACTTCATTGAATAGTAAATCAACTAAATAACTTTATTGAATAGTAATACAACTAAACTTTTTTCTCTATTTATGCATCGTCATGGATTGCTCTTATCTATTGTGTATAAGATTAAAAAAAATCTCAGAAGGTATACTTGCATGATTTTTTTTTAAGAAAAAATCCTAGTCTTTTGGTACCAAGCATTGACTTTACCTATTAAGGATTATCTATAGTTTAAAAGATAATAACTTTGCTGGTTTGATTTCTTGTAGATTTATCTAAACTTATCCCTTATTAAACTATCTTATCTCGTCTTTGTAATTATATCAACTACATCCTTGTACATTCCTTATAAAAAGACATTTCAATAATAAAAAAATATAAGTTCAGTAATATTGTTTATGGTAGTAGAGCTGTTTTTTTTTCTTCAATAAGACTTTTTACTATGGCCTCAACTTCTAATTCAATCATTGTTAATATTGATCTTCATAGAAATGATAAAACTCACCTTATTACCTCAATACCAGTTCTCAACTTTCTTTGAAACTAACACCCTCAAATTTTTCTTCACAATGTGCTTAATTGATGTCCTTATTTACAGGTTATAATCTCTAAGGATATCTTGATGGAACCGTTGTTTGCCCATCAAAAATAATATTTAATCCAATAACTGGATCATCTTTTATAGGTACTTCAAATCCTACATTTTGGCATTGGTTTTGACAAGATAATTTGATACTTCATGCAATTCTTGCTTTTGTTTTTGAATCAATTAACTCTTATTCACTAAAGGACTTAATCAATTTCATAATATCTTAATATTATCATAAACTTAGTTGATGAACTTCACATCATTCATTTTCAATGGCATCGAAGTTGATTTTTGTGGCATAACAACTATAATAAATGCCTGTGAGACTTCTCTTACATTGGAAGAACTTCATGCCTTATTGATTAGCCATGAAAATTACTTAAAACTCATTGATGCTTCCAACTCAAGACTAATTGCCACTATAAAGGCTGCTCAATGTAACCACTCCATCAAATCAACATGTCTTGCAAATTCTTCTGCAAGTTGTTCCAGATCCAACCAAAGATGTAATGTTTATATATACAAATCAGGTCAATCTCCATTGATTTGTCAACTCCGTGACATAAAAAGGCACTTAGACAAGACATGTTGCAAGGTCATTAGGCTAAAATCTACAAACTATATAGCTATAAGTGGATTAAATAACAAAAAGTGGCTAATAGATTCTGCTACCACTCATCACATTACCTTTAATATTGCTAACCTATCAGTCCACTCTGAGTATGATGGAACTAATTGACATGACCAAATGATTGATGTCTTCTCCCAAGTGCAAGAGTATTGAAGTAATAAGTAACCCAACAAGACTAGGATCGAACCACTAGGAGGTTATTTATATAAATTATAAAAAACAACAACAACAACAACAATAAAAAGAGCTTTGATATGTGATATTGATATAAGAATTAAATAATGATAAAAAAAAATTATCAAGGTTAGAGGATCCACTAATGGTATTTCAAATAAGTATAGTATAAACTCTTATTACTCAACTGAAAACCACATACAAAGGAGGCTCTAATTGAATTTAAATTGTTAACATGATTACATTAGTTTAAGAAAAATATTAAGAGTGAATAAAATAACAAATACAAAACATGTTAGTATCAAACATCATAGTCCATGTTGAGTTTATACTATACTTATTCTTAAACCATTAGTAAAACATTTTTATCTTGACATAATAAATTTAACTAAACATAATAAAAGAGAGAAACATAAATAAATAAGATAAAAATATAAATAAGATATAAGTTAACTAGGTAAATGAAAGGAAATGAGAAGCATAAATAAGAGATTAATATAAGTAAAACTTAAGCATTACAATAAAAAGAGAATAAGAACATAATCTTCATTTGAAAATCAAGATGCCTAAATGCATGACAAATGCCTCCTTTTATAGGCCAAAATTTAGAACTATTGATTTGATGACTAATTATTGACTGGGTGACCACATTTTGACTTGGTGACAATCTTTATCTTCTTATCTGAACAAAATATCATTGATAACGTCAGAATTTGAACAAACTTAAATCATGAAAGTTCTACTAAATTGTCTCAACTTTTCAAAAAAAAAAATTGAGGTCATTTGGACTTCTAGAACTCAAGATATAGGCTGAACATTGAACAGTATCTGGGCTGCAGGATAGATTTGGAATTCTCCGTTGTTGCTAAGATTTGGACTTCCAAATAACAGAATTGAGTTTTACCTTCTACATGAATGTTTTAGGCCTATATTGTAGCTTTCCATCCATATAAAATAGATCTAAATCTAAGATCTACAGCTCCAAATATGACCAAATGATTGAACAATGTTTCATTTTGGATTGAACCATTATCTCTTTTCAAAGTTTGGCCCCTCTTTTTATTCTTTCAATTTCAGTTCTTCAACTCATCAATTAATTCTTTCATTTATGTGATAGGCATGCATTTAAGATAAACATTTATCATAAATTAAAGTTATTTTATGGTATCAGACTTGTTATTATAAAACATACTTTAGTTAAGGAGTTATTGATACTTCAAGTACAAAATGATGATATAAAACCTTTGAGAAAAATACACTTTTAAGTACTAATCATTAAATGAAGTCGTCATTGGTGATGGCTTAGTTTTGTGAGTAACATATGTTGGCTTTATGTCTTGGAATTCATTTTCAAAATACTTTTTTCCTACATAATACTTTTTATGTCCCTAACATTCATAAAAACTTAGTTTTTATCCATCACTTTACTCATTCTAGCAATGTTTACATTAAATTTCATCCCTTTAATTTTCTTATGAAGGATCAGAAAATGGGGACAACACTTCTACGTAGTGAATGCCAGGATGATGCTTATCTATTAAAAACATATTGGTCATCCCTCTAATAAAATCTATCATTTCAAAATTAATCATATATCTCTTCCTGTTTTAAGTTCTAGAAATCCCTTATCATCAATTTGTTCAGCTTGTTAATGTAGTAATAAAATTCATAAGTTATCATTTTTAAAAACATCTTTTATCAGTACTTATCCATTAGAATATATCTATATAGATATATAGGGACCAACAACAAGTTCTCTTGATGGTATTTGTTATTATGCTTTATTTGTGAATCATTTTACAAAG